AAACTGCTAGGTTGGCAGGAGCAGGGACCGAGCGACGGGGTGAGCTCCCATTGCTCGGTCCCTGCTCCTGCCAACCTAGCAGTTTGAAAGCACATCAAAATGCATGTAGATAAATAGGTACCGCTCCGGCAGGAAGGTAAACGGCGTTTCCATGCGCTGCTCTGGTTCGCCATGTTGGCCACATGACCCAGAAGCTGTACGCCGGCTCCCTCAGCCAGTAAAGCCAGATGAGGGCCGCAACCCCAGAGTCGTATCTTTAAGTCCCCTTATTATCCCTCTTAAAAGAATAAACACTCCACAATCTTGTGTAAAGTATATCAAAGAAGTTTACAAACGAATAATCATTTCACAGTTGGATCCCTGAAGGCAGACTTAGCTACAAAGTATATATATGTGGATCTATCCCATATGCCAGGGGTGTCCAGATTTGATGAAGTGAACATGCATGAGGGCTGACCAAAGTTGTTGACCTTTTTTAGGATTTTACCGCAGGAAATAAACTGCCACGGGGGCCGGCCTCAAAACAGACTTTGGACATGCCTGCCATATGGGGATAATCCCACTGTCCTCTGTTGGCTTAAGGCCAAAAGAGCATTTCTAGCTGAAAAGCTGGTCCAATGGAATAAGTCAAAGAGGGGAAGTGTGCTGCGTGCCTTGCCGTTTTGTTACCTCGACAGGTAAGGTCACACCCACCTCTAGTCACATGCTGAAGGAAGTATGTCGCAGTCAGGAGGAAACAGGAAGTTTTTGACTGACCGGACCAAATATTCCCTTGCATGTCCACTCTAGGAAAACAAGGAATGTTGTACTTGACTCCTACTTACCGTATTTTTCGCTCTATTGGACGCAGTTTTTCCTCTCCAAAAATTGAGGGGAAATGTGTGTGCGTCCTATAGAGCGAATGCAGGCGTGTGCCATAGCCGCGCGCAACCCCTCCGGCAAGGAGAGGCTGCACGGGGCTAAACGGGAAGCCAAAACAGCGAGCGGGATCCATCCCACTCGCTGCCTTGCCTTCTTCCATAGCTGCGCGCAACTCCTCTGGCAGGGAGAGGTTGTGTGCAGCCTGTACGCTGCTATTTGGGGCTGGGGGGGTATTTTTTTCCTTGATTTCCCCCCCTAAAAACTGGGTGTGCCCTATGGTCCAGTGCGCCCTATGGTGCGAAAAATACGGTATGTATCCCACCCAATGTACCCTGGCTATCCCGGTATAGGCCCAGTGCCATCAAGTGTCAGGAACAGTGCAGGCTAGGGAGCTACAGGAGCCCATCATCATCATCATCATCATCATCATTTATTATTTATACCCCGCCCATCTGGCTGGGTTTCCCCAGCCACTGTGGGTGGCTTCCAACAGAATATTAAAATACAATAACCTATTAAACATTAAAAGCTTCCCTAAACAGGGCTGCCTTCAGATGTCTTCCAGAAGTCTGGTAGTTGTTTTTCTCTTTGACATCTGGTGGGAGGGCGTTCCACAGGGCGGGTGCCACTACCGAGAAGGCCCTCTGCCTGCTTCCCTGTAACTTGGCTTCTCGCAGTGAGGGAACCGCCAGAAGGCCCTCAGAGCTGGACCTCAGTGTCTGGGCAGAATGATGGGGGTTGAGACGCTCCTTCAGGTATGCTGGACCGAGGCTGTTTAGGGCTTTAAAGGTCAGCATCAACACTTTAAATTGTGCTTGCAAATGTACTGGGAGCCAGTGTGGGTCTATCAAGACCAGTGTTATGTGGTCTCGGCGGCCGCTCCCAGTTACCAGTCTAGCTTCTGCATTCTGGATTAGTTGTAGTTTCCGGGTCACCTTCAAAGGTAGCCCCACATAGAACGCATTGCAGTAGTCCAAGCGGGAGATAACTAGAGCATGCACCACTCTGGTGAGACAGTCCGTGGGCAGGTAGGGTCTCAGCCTGCGTCCCAGATGGATCTGGTAAACAGCTGCCCTGGACACACAATTGACCTGTGCCTCCATGGACAGCTGTGAGTCCAAAATGACTCCCAGTCTGCGCACCTGGTCCTTCAGGGGCACAGTTACCCCATTCAGGACCAGGGAGACTCAGACCTCCTTGGAGCACCTCATTTCGGTGTTTTCCGGGCGCTGCTTCTTGCTGGGAGTACTTCTGCTCATCCAAACTTTTGTTGGATTGGGGGAAGGGGGAGTTTGGCATTTTCAGGGTTAAAGCAGAGCTTGACAAGCCCAGGTAGGTAGCATCCCTAGTTAGAGACTGAATAGGAATGTAGATGGATGGAGATGTGTTATGTTATCCATAGGATGTAGACAAAGAAAGGAAAACAAGATAGACAAGGCCAGGGGCCCAGTTAGTGAAATAACAGGCAGGCTTATTGAAAATGGGTGTTGGTAGCTGTGAAAACAATGCAGCTTCCATAGACAGAAGGATTATAGCGGATCTCAGATGCAGGGAAGAAATTATTTCAGGTTGAATAATGGGGGGACGGGACAATTACAATCCTATCTGGGATACGGCAACGTCTGAGCATCTCGCCAGACCCAAATCGAGATCTTGTGCCGACTGCTCAATATTCTCAGTAAAGTAATACAGTGGTGCCTCGCCAGACGAAATTAATCCCTTCCGCGAGTCTCTTCGTCTTGCGGTTTTTCCGTCTTGCGAAGCACAGCTATTAGCGGCTTAGCGACTATTAACGGCTTTAAGAAAAAGGAAACTAACTCGCAAGAACTCGCAAGACGTTTCGTCTTGCGAAGCAAGCCCATAGGGAAATTCGTCTTGCGGGACGACTCAAAAAACAGAAAACTCTTTCGTCTTGCGAGGCATTCGTCTTGCGAGTTACCACTGTATGTTTGAATCTTGAATGCTGGATAGGTGCTTAATCGTTTTTGTATTTGTTTTAAAAAACACACACCAAAAACTGTCTTTTAAAAAACCAACCCATGACTAATCGAAGGGGAAAGTAGGTTTTTATCGTTAACGTAGGTTTGACGCCTGTGTGGATCCAATAATAAACTTTTGATTGTTTATTCACATCCCTCTTGCCCTCGTGTGTTCGTTGCATCTCCCTTGTGGTGGGCTACAGCTTCAAACAATAAAGTTTTGTTTATCCACTCAGACCACCGATACAACTTTTTCTTATTTGGATGTGCTTCAATTTGCCTCTGAGACACAGGCATGAGCTTCCCTTTTCCTCTCGCAGGCGATGGAGCTAGCAAGTCCTGGCAAGCTATCTCTTTCCGGAAATGACCTTCCCTGAGCCCAAACAGTTCTCTCTCCTTGAGAACGCCACTCAAGAAGGTTTCATTAAATTACGAGAATAATGATCAGCAATTAGCCTTTTTTATGTAGCTGGCTGATAATCTGATCTACAAGGATGAACTGTTTTCCTTTCCCCCCCAGTGTCCTTTGAGGGCGTAGCTGTGCTTTTCGCAGAAGGGGAATTGGTTCTGCTGGATCCTGACCAGAGATCTCTGAATCGGGGAGTCATGGAAGAGATCTATGGGACTGCGGCCTCTCAGGGTAAGCAAGCAACCCGTTTAGATCAAAGTACCTATTTTTGAAATTTCTGTATGTTATTAGCTCAGGGGTTCTTCATCCACTGCAGTTCAAACTTAATTGTCTATCTATTGTCATCTCTCTGAATATACCCCCTCCAGTTGACCTGGCTGACTAGGCCAGGCCTTTTGAAATGCAAGTTTCTGATTTGTTCGGTGGGTGAAACAAGTAATTTTCAATGAATATTAATTGGAAAATACGTCTTGTGTATTAAATTTGTAATTTTTTGAAATTTGTAAATACGTGGTTTTTTAAAAAAGTTTTTAAGGATTGTAGGTTTGCCATACTTCAAAAAGTGGTTGACCTTTTCTTGCTAAATCTCCAAATAAATTGAAGTTTTTGAGCTTTAAAAAAGTAAATTCACCCAAAAATCTTCACTTCCGATATGGTTCGCCATACCTCTGGGTCATTTCAGCGATTTCCGGATATTCCACCTGGAAGCTAGTTTCTTTTTTAAAAAAAAAATATTTATACTTTTCAAATTTATACATTTCAGAGTTTGACTTCCTTCCCCTCTTTCTCCGGTTCCTTAAATTTATTTTTAATATCTTTGCATATCCAAATTCATTTAATTTGCTCATTTAATTATCTACTTTCAATATTGACTCTTATGAAACAGCAGGTTATTACAATAATCCTGCCAGTGTTTTTTATCTGTTTGCAATTTATCTGTAAATATTCAATAAACCTTTTCCATTTTTTTATTAAAAGTTTGTTATCTTGATTTCTTATTCTTCCGGTAAGTTTTGACATTTCTGCATATTCCATAAGTTTTTTGTATCCATTTTTCCTTTGTTGGAACTTCTGCTTCATTCCATTTTGGGGTGAGTAGCATTCTTGCTGCTGTAGTTGCATACATAAATAAATTTCTATACAATTTAGGTCAGGCACCCTCAAACTCAGCCCTCCAGATGTTTTGGGACTACAATTCCCATTATCCCTGACCACTAGACCTGTTAGCTAGGGATGATGGGAGTTGTAGTCCCAAAATATCTGGAGGGCCGAATTTGGGGATGCCTGATTTAGGTAGTTCTGTCCCTATAATTCCCAAAAGAAAAGCTTCTGGGTTGTTGTTTTTTAAATAAAAGTTATTTTGAACATCCTTTTCAATTCCTTATATATCATTTCCCAGTAAGCTTCAACCTTGCTACTACGTCAGTGATTTGAGGCTCTATTTATTCCTCAGGCTCTTATCAGTTTCTCTCTTCATTGCAGAAGGTGATCTATCTGAAACAGAGAATAATGGAGAACAAGATGTGACAGAGACAGAGGGAAAAGGCAGCTGTACTGGAAAGAAACCATATCGATACATGGAATGTGAGAAGAACTTTGGAGAAAACTCCACCCTCTCTTCTCATCAGGAAATTCACCCGGAGGATGAACCATACCGGTCTTTTGAATGTGGAAGGGACTTTGGAGACGAAAGCCTTTCTCCTCCTCCTCCTCCGATAATTCCCACAAAGGAAAAACCTTACAACTGCAAGGAATGTGGAAAGAGCTTCTCTCGGAAGTTGCGTCTAACTAATCATCAGAGAATTCATACAGGGGAGAAGCCGTTTCAGTGCCTGGAGTGCGGCAAGTGTTTCATTCACAACTGCAGCCTGTCGTACCACAAGAGGATCCACACCGGCGAGAAACCCTACAAATGCTTGGAGTGTGAGAAAAGCTTCACTCGGAAGATCATTCTCACCAATCATCAGAGAGTTCACACCGGCGAGAAGCCATACAAATGTTTCGAGTGCGGGAAGAGTTTCACCCGGAAGGTGATCCTGGCAAACCACCAAACGATTCACTCCGGGGAGAAACCGTACAAGTGCTTGGAATGCGGGAAGAGCTTCACTCTGAAGGTGCACCTTACCGCACATGAAAGAATCCACACAGGGGAGAAACCGTATAAATGCCTGGAGTGCGGGAAGAGCTTCAGTCGGAACTCCAACCTCGCTTACCACCGGAAAGTCCACACGGGGGAGAAACCCTATAAATGCCTGGAGTGCGGAAAGGGCTTCAGAAACAGCACGAACCTGACTTACCACCAGGAAATCCACACCGGGGATAAGCCGTATAAGTGTCTGGAGTGCGGGAAGTGCGTCAGACGGGCGGCGGAACTCGTCAACCATAAGAAAATCCACACCCAGGAGAAACCCCATATGTGCTTGCACTGCGGGAAGTGCTTCACTCTGAAGAATTACCTCAGACGTCATCAGAGAATCCACACAGGAGAGAAACGGTACAAATGCTTTGAGTGCGGGAAATGCTTCACGGAGAAGACCACGCTCACGAAACACCACCGAACTCACACAGGGGAGAAACCGTACGAATGCATGGAGTGTGGGAAAACCTTCACGCAGAGCTACTCTCTCAGTCTCCATCAGAGAAATCACACCTCCATGTTTGGAGTGTGGGAACAGCTTTCTTCGCAGCTCCAGCCTTTGTTCCCGCCACAGAATCCGTACAGCGGAGAACCAATATAGGTGCTTGGAATGCGGAAATAGCTTCAAGAAAAGTCTCGCTTTCCCATCAAATACTTCCCGGAACAGAGAAACCGTAGAAATGGTAGCAGAGACCTTACGAAGAAGCAGAAACTTCAGTAATCAAAGGATACACAGTTCAGGGTTGAGATCATATTAAAGCGTTGGAGTGCGGGAAAAGCTTGGATAAGAATTCTCAAAGGGTAGGATCCATATAAAGGCCAGAAAAATTGAAATCCTTCCACCACATTCATCTTCCCAACTCCCCCACAACCACCAGAAAATTCATGTAGCTATGAGATTTTGACTGTCGGTGCTTTGAAGCTGCAAAGAGCTTCAGAACGTTTCAGCCTTACCTGGCGCTAAAGAGTTCTCGCAGGGAGGAAACCATATAAACCCATGTGAAAACGAGGACTTTGATTTGCAAGATGTCGGTGACCAAACGGGATCCAAGAAGCTAAAAAAAACCACCTGGAAAGTTTTATTTTAAATACATGCAGCAGAAGAACAATAGGTGTAGTTTTGTTTATGAACCATGGAAGTATAGAAAGAGAGAGCAACTGCAAACTATATATAATTGAATCTTGGGGAAGGGAAAGAAAAAAGGAACTGTGGGTAAAATAAAACACGATGAATAAAAAGGGAAAGCGAAGACTGAAATAAACTGTATTAAGATAACCTGGTGAAGCGGCTATTACATGTAAAATTTAAATTGTCTGTGACTTAATGGGTTCACCTAAACTCCCAATGGCCCTCTCTTTAAAACTTACCTAACTGCCCTAGCTACATACCCTCTAGATCGCTAGCAATCTAGAATGCAATTCTGTGGGGAAAGGTTCTGGCGGTTTTAGATGCTGATAGTAGATATAGAAATAGAATAAGGAAACTGTATATAATCGAAAGGTTTGTGAACTGAATCCCCCGCCTCAGAGGCCATCTTGTGGGCAGGAGACAGTCTGGTCTTATTTTCCCTGGTGAAGTTTGGAGAGGTCGGCGTGCGAATATCCCAGCATCTCCCCAAAGATCAAATGGGGGAGCAAAATCTGTGGGAATGTGAATTTTGGGAGGCCTCTCCACCTTATGCTTAGGCTGCATATATATGTAAATAAAACCATATATCCGAACACAGCACTGTCCCCAAGTAGTCTTAATGCTCTTACACATTTTTAAAATGTCTTAAATAATCCTTTTCTAATGTAGACAGAGAGAACCGGATGTCTTCCCCCCTTAATCTTTGGTGTTTCCTATAGCATGGGTAGGCAACTAAGGCCCAGGGGCTGGATCCGGCCCAATCGCCTTCTAAATCCGGCCTACAGACGGTCTGGGAATCAGCGTGTTTTTCCATGAGTAAAATGTGTCCTTTTATTTAAAATGCATCTCTGGGTTATTTGTGGGGCCTGCCTGGTGTTTTTACACGAGTAGAAGGTGTGCTTTTATTTAAAATGCATCTCTGGGTTATTTGTGGGGTAGAGGAATTCGTTCATTATTATTTTTCAAAATATAATCCAGCCCCCCACAAGGTCTGAGGGACAGTGGACCGGCCCCCTGCTGAAAAAGTTTGCTGACCCCTGCTTATAGCTTTGCTCTCCTCCCTCCCTCTTTTTTCTCCTTTCCCTCTTTTCTCTCTTATATTCCCGATTCTGCTTGTTCTAGATATTATTTTATTGTATTGTGAAAACTTTAATAAAAATCCATTTTAGAAACTTAATTCTCTTCCACCTTTTTGCCGGTCTTTTTGTTTGTTGTTTTTGGTCATTCCTGCTCCAAAATTAGTCTCCCTCCTGTGTTTCTTAAGCGATGCCCACGCATGCGGTTACTATTGGATTTTGGGCATTACAGCTGGAGATCAAGGGGAGCATAAGGAATTGTTGAAGTTCACCCTTCCCTTTCATAGGACTTCCAGTTGCTCAGACGGAGATCTAGTGGCGAGGTGAGATGGCTTTGATACAAATCATTTGGCGCTTTCGGGAGGGCAGTCCACAAAGGAGGGGCTGCCACTGAAAAGGCCCTGTCAACACCAAGTGGGTGGCACTCCCTAGTGGCACTAATGTGCTCACCTGTCGCTCTTCAGGTGCGAGATGGTTGATATTGGGAAAGGCACCTTTTCAGGAACATGTGTCCCAAGCCATTTAGGGCTTTATCTTTTTTCCCTTCTTCTTAGGCAATCCCTTGTAGCCAAGTAAGATTGTCTTCCATGAACACAGTCTTAACAGTGAGTCCGTAAGTGACTGTGGAGGTCAATTCTGGATCCACACAGTGGGGACATAGGTTTCCGGGTGGGAGTTGATCCTAGTGAGGGTTTGCAAAGCGTGCCTTCCTCTTAGCGCATTTCTCCCTGAGTGATGGGCCCTATTGAGGTGTGAGATGATGGGATTTCTGGGTGGGGGGAATGGGGGGGCTGAACATTCACAGAAATGCTAAAACAGCTTGGAGTCTTCTCTGCCAGCTTCCTCCTCCTATTTTTGCAGTCTGATACCTCAGAAGAGCACCATCTCTCAGGAAGAACTTCCTGACAGTAAGAGCTGTTCGACAGTGGAATTTGCTGCCAAGGAGTGTGGTGGAGTCTCCTTCTTTGGAGGTCTTTAAGCAGAGGCTTGACAACCATATGTCAGGAGTGTTCTGATGGTGTTTCCTGCTTGGCAGGGGGTTGGACTCGATGGCCCTTGTGGTCTATTCCAACTTTAAGATTCTATGATTCTATCCTTAAAATCCTGGCACCCAGAACTGGACACACCAAGGCAGAACAGAGTGGGACTATGACTTCCCTTGATCTGGACACTACTGGGGATGCAGCCTAGAATAGCACATTCTAGGGCAAAAGATTCCTGCATTTTGGGAGGGTTGGACTGGATGTTCCGGCTCTGCAATTCCATGATTCATTGCCCCCTTGGCTCTTTTGCTTTCGGGGGAATGCAAAGAGATATGAATATGATAATCTTTATTGTCATTGTCCCATACAGAACAACGAAATTGAAGAGAAAAAAAATCTACATAAGACATTCAAAACCAACAAGCCTGCCTAGCCAACCTGGTTAGCCCCCTAAAAACTCTGATACCCCATTTTAAAAATACAATATAGCAGTGGTACCTCGGTTACAGACGCTTCAGGTTACAGACTGCGCTAACCCAGAAACAGTACCTCGGGTTAAGAACTTTGCTTCAGGATGAGAACAGAAATCGTGCTCCAGCGGCAGCAGGAGGCCCCATTAGCTAGAGTGGTGCTTCAGGTTAAGAAACGGACCTCCGGAACGAATTAAGTTCTTATCCCCAGGTACCACTGTACTCCCATAGAGCATAGCTGTCAACTTTTCCCTTTTCTTGCGAGGAATCCTATTTGGAATAAGGGAATTTCCCTTTAAAAAAGAGAAACGTTGACAGCTATGCCATAGAGACTCCTTACACTGTGGTTAAACCACAGAGCATAGGACTTGCTGATCAGAAGGTCGGCGGTTCGAATCCCTGTGACGGGGCGAGCTCCCATTGGTCGGTCCCTGCTCCCTCCCAACCTAACAGTTCGAAAACACGTCAAGTGCAAGTAGATCAATAAGGTACCTCTCTGGCAGGAAGGTAAACGGCGTTTCCATGCGCTGTTCTGGTTCGCCAGAAGCAGCTTAGTCATGCTGGCCACGACCCGGAAGATGTATTCTGGCTCCCACAGCCAGTAAATAAGAGGAGCGCCGCAACCCCCAGAGTCGACCACTACTTGGACCTAACGGTCAGGGGTCCCTTTACCTTTACACTGCGTTTAAAACCAAAATCGCATTTGGATAGAAACTGTTTTCTCAGGCGGCTAGTCCTAGTCTTTATAACCCTGGACCTTCTTCCAGAAGGCAGAAGCTGAAAGAGATCATTTCGGGGTGCGCACTGTCCTGCGCTATCTCTGCAGCTTTCTTGTGACACTGGAAGCGAAGATTTGATCCAAGGTGGGAAGAGTGCACCCAATTATTCTCTTCCGCAGTCTTTACAACCCCCTGGACAGCATTGTTTTTCCCCTGATGGTGCAGCTCCCAAACCACACACACAGGCCATAAGTTAACACACTCTCCACAGTACAATGGTAAATGCTAATCAACAGGGTCCTTTGAGAGATTGTTTTTTGCGGAGGCCTTCTCAGAAAATATAACCTCTTGCTGTGCTCTCTTCATCAGGTCTTTGCTGTTTTCTCCCCAGGTTTAGGTCGTCTCTCAACTCTATTCTCAGAAATCCAAACGCGGAGACCTGTTCCACGCACTTCCCCTCAATAATGAAGTGGCTGAATATTCAATTTACATTTCTAAAGTCCACAATAATCTCTATTGTTTTCTTTAAGTTGTTTTTCCTGCCCCACTCCCCCCAGCTGCTCAACTTCCTTCCTATAGGCCGCCTCCCCCTCTTCAGCTGTGATCAAACCAACCACCCTTTTATCATCTGCAAACTTAATGATCTTATTACTGGGGTATTTGGGCGAAGAGGAAGGAGGGAGGTCCTCTCCGCAGTTCGGTGCTGCTAAGGGTTAAAGTGAACCGGATGCATGCAGAAGGAGGAGATTTGGGGGAGAGGAGGAGGAGTTAGAGGTGGGGCATTGGGGGGGTGAGATAAAGCACCTTTTTCCAGTCCGTATTTCTCACGAGCAGGGCAGGACGCAAAGCAGGAGCCTTTGTCTGACGCGTGTTCTGCAGCAGCATCCGTCTGAACCTGGTGAGAGTCCCTGATTTGGGTCGAAGGGGTTTCCCTGGGCAGTGGGGAGGTGCACCGGAGGCCTCTGCAGATGATCTAAATTGGGGACACCCCCCCTAAAAAAATAAACAACCCCACGCCCAGGTCAGGGAGCGGCGCGCGCCTCGATTTCTTCTTATCTGCACAGCCATGGGGAGGCGGGGATTTAAAGCCGATCTGCAAGGCTGAGCTGCGCCATCAAGTTAATCGGGCACCGACACGCGTCTGCGCCTTCACAACGTGAAACAAAGGCGCCGAGGCCTCCGTGGGAGCTGAAGCGGTGCGTTGTTAGGAAGCTCTTAGGGGGTGTCGTGGCGCGCCGCTTCCTGCGTCCGTGCAGGTGGAGGCATGCGAGAGGAACCAGCCGACCGGTCCTTTGTGAAGGCGAAGGTAGCTCCCCGCCTGTGGAATGGCCTCGGATCTGCAGTGCAAAGAGGTTGCCATGGAGACCAATGCGTGGGATGGGGGGGAGAGAGTGCGCCTTTTCAGGTGCAGAACAATGGGTCAACGTGGGTGGTCCGCTTAGGTGAGCTGGGAGGGGAGATGCTGGAGGGAAGATCCCCCTGGATCCCAAATGCTCAGATTACAAGATTACAAATTAGATGGACTTACGATATGCAGTTTTAAAAGTTACTGGTTTTCCTGGGGCCACTCTCCTTATGGAATGTTTCTGTCCAGCCATTGTAGGGGTTAAAGTGGGGTTAGGAACCATAGATGATAAAGAAAGGATGGTTAATTGGGTTGCACTGGAGGAAATACAATTTAAAATTATGATTTATATGGATCGAGAAAGGAAGATTAATTGATTCGCTGGGGAAATGTCAGGTGAATGTCTAAACAAGAATGGGACATGCAGAGCCGGCGGGAAAAGGAAATGAATGGGAAAGTATTAAGAAATTAAGGGGAAGTGTTTTACTACCAGCAGCAAAGGAGGGAGGGAAAAGAATCCTATTTTTGGGGGTGGGGGGGTGGGGAGATGGAAAGTCAATTGCTAAATTGGTGTTAAATTCCGAATTGATTTGTTGGTAATTTGTTTTAGAATTTAGAAAATGAATTGGAAATGAATTGGAAATAAAAGGAACCATAGATGATTACAGTCTTGCATGATACATGAATGTAATGTATCATGATTGTAATGTAAATGATGAGGCTACATTTTAATATTTTAATGTTTCAATATTTTAATGTCGTATTTTAATTTTGTTTTTAAGTTGTATTCATATTCATTCACTTGTTTTTATATTGCTGTAGGCCTGGCCCAGCCTTGCTGGGAGGGTGGGGTA